TAAATTTTAGACCCCATGTTAATTTTTCTTAGGGTGAAAACCCAGAAATGATTTTTTCGGTGAAAATAGCCTTAGGGTTCTACTTTAATTTCTACTTCCACTTTTTGCAGTAAATTATTAATTTGTGCTTTAAAAAATTTAAATTATTTTGATTAAAAAATTTTAGTACATCATAGAAGGTTTTAACTTATCACTTTAATTTGTCATTTTTGAGAGCATAATTTTAATTGGGCCATTAATAGGTATTTAACGAACAAGTTTGTTAATAAAAGTGATTAATAATCGAGATATTTTAACGCGCTCGTTCCTCGCGCGTTGATGTTCGAGATTATTATTCGCCAATCATCAGTCGAGTTAGTTACAATACTTTTCCGGTGATCGTAATTTAAAAAAAATTACTGAAAATTCAAAATACGAGTTATGCAACCAAACATACAAGTGGAACGTTTTATGAACAACCACTTTAGTTTAAGTTTAAATATTGTAGGCAGCCATGTAAAAACAATTTACGTGACATTTCTAAAATTTGATTACTCGTTCGGTTTTTAGTGACCGAAATTCATCAATATGCCGCAGTACACAATAGTCCAGTCAAATTAGCGATCAACCTCGGAATGCGAGATAATAAGCTGAATTTTCGTATATACCTTCATTTTAGCGTTCTAAAAGTTGTCTCAAAAGTCTCATAAAATCTCGTGTCTGCGTCGTAAGTTATTCAAGGTCAAATGTGAAGAAAAACAGTTTTTTGCGATTATCTCGGTTTCTATTGCTCCAATGATGTTAACATTTATTATCGTAATTGTAGAGCACAAAATTTGGGACAAATTTTATTTGAAACATTTTTTCATGCGCTCAATCGTTTTTGAGATAGAGGGCAGTGAACGCGCAGCGCTCATCCATACGTACTGTAATGCAATCAACTGTGAATATCTGTGAATACTACCTTTAATTTTGAATAATTTGTATTATTTATCAGTTAATACATTGCATTTAATAACATTTTACATATTTTCAATACATTCATTTAATGATAATGATACTTACCTACTTTGTGGAATTAAAAACTCTTTAAATGAAATACTTATTGTATAGGTATATCTTAATTTATTGAAAGTACATTTTAAGTAGAAAAATAATTAAGTACTTTATCTTTCAAATGTGTAAGTTTTTATATATTAGATAATATATTATACTTGTTATATTATTATATATCTAAAAGTTATATTAATTTTTTCAAAGTAAATTTTAAGGAAGTAAAAATAATGTATTTTAATTTTATCTTTGTTCAGTACCTGTACCTTTCTTACGATTGAAATTGAATTGCAGTGAAAATCTAGAAATCTTTAATAATTTAAAGAACAAAAGTATTAACTTTCTTCTTCTTCACCGTCATCTTCTGGACGTTCGGGAATTTCTGTTTCAAGGTCATCATCTTCGGTGCCCTGAATCGTTGTTTCCAGACCTTCCAGTTATAATCATGATAGAAAAATAAGTATTTAAAACCTTACACATTTTAAAGATATAAATAAATTGAGATATGCAATAAATATTTCATTAAATGCGTTTTTAATTACACAAAATAGGTAAGTGTTGTTCAATGAATATGTTGAAAATATGTAAAATGTTTAAATACAATGTATTAATTGATAAATAATACAAATTTTTCAAAATTCAAGGTATAGTATTCACAGATATTCACGGTTGATTGCATTACAGTACGTATGGATGAGTCCTCTATCTCAAAAACGATTGATCGCATGAAAAAATGTTTCAAATAAAATTTGTCCCAAATTTTGTGCTCTATAATTATGATAATAGATGTTAACATCACTGGAGCAATAGAAACCGAGATAATCGTAAAAAACTGTTTTTCTTCACCTTTGACCTTGAATAACTTACGACGCAGACATGAGATTTTATGAGACTTTTGAGATAACTTTTAAAACGCCAAAATTAAGGTATATACAAAAATTCAGCTTATTATCTCTCATTCCGAGATTGATCCCTTTTTTATCCTAAAATGACCGGACTACAATTAAAGAAAAAGTGGAAATGCTCACTGATGGATACCTTAAAGCCTTATCGACAACAGAGAAGTTTATGCCTGTCTGTGATCAGTAGAATTTACATTAAAAATATATCTTTTGTATCTTTTCTACTCTTACTCAAACGGGGTGACAGAAAAAATAGATTAAAATAATAAATTAATCATGGAAGTAGAATGAGAGGAAGAAAGATTGTTTCAAAAAGTGCTTAGTACTGCGCTTTCGAATACGGTCACGAATGGCCCTTCCAGCTCGTCCGAGAAAGTGATGGTGGTTCTAGTGGCGTGCTCGAAAGTGTTTGCCAGGTACTAAGCTTTAAAACAAAAATAATTTAATAAGGTAGAATATGCAAGCCGTAGCAGTAACTTTACTTGAGTTTTTATGTTGCAATAAATATTTTCGTTTTTATTCCATAATTAGCCAAATGATAAAGCGTTTTTACTATCTGTGAACTTATTTTAAACCAAACGGGGCTCCTCTAATCCTGTATTGTTGTTGGACCACTCCCCATGTAATAAGGAAAGGGTGAAGCTCTTTTGCCGACAAATCTTTAACATTGCTTGTGTTCGAGAAAAGAAATATTACTATCAGTTATAATATAACAAGTGATATAATTATAACCGATAATATTTCGAGTGAACCGAGTTGAATGTGCTGCTTCGGTTTCACGAGCCATATATTCGATTTATTAATCATACCACGAGTTATATTCGACATGAGAATATAATGAACGAACAAATTTTTTGATAATAAAATTGATTTCGTCCTTTTAAGCTTGCCCCCAACGTTGGCAAGCCATAATAGACAAACAAATTTATAAAATTCTAAAATTTGTCAAATTTGACAGTTTTTAAATTTAGGTAGCAACAGACCACAATAATAAGGTAATAAAATTATTATCGCTGTGATAGACATGTAACTAAGGGCTTGAATAAATTCTATTGGAAGAAATGGGGTCATGTGATACATGAATTATATTCTCAAAAATATAAACGTTATAAAATCAATAAAGGAGAAAGGATATTCCTAATGCACTTGTTTCAATCTCAGACATTACCGAAGAAGAAATTTTGCTTGCATTAGAACGATCTAAACAATCTCTCACTTCAGGTACCGACTTAATACCTAGTTTTATACTGAAAGACTGCGCTTATGTATTAGTTAAACCGTTGCATCATTTATTTAACTTAATTTTGAGGACATCTTCTTTTCCTGAGAAATGGAAAAAGGCAACGGTTACACCAATTTTTAAGAAAGGCGACCCTTCTATGATACAAAACTACAGACCTATATGTTTACTGTGTAATTTTGTCAAAATCTTTGAAAATATTCTTTATGCAAGGACATATTCAAGCATCAAAAGTTACCTAACGACATTTCAGCATAGATTTGTAGAAAAAAAATCAACTGTCACTAACTTAGTTTCTTTCTGTCAATATGCTGCTGAGACTATAGATCACCAAAATCAGCTAGATGTTGCATTCACAGACATTACCAAAGCCTTTGATCATATCGATCATTTTCTGCTTCTCAAAAAACTCCAGTGCTTTGGCTTTTCCAAACCGCTTTTAACTCTTATTAAATCGCACCTCTTTAACAGAGAGTTGGTCGTGAAATACCGTAACTTTATGTCTCAGCCGTTCACCCCAAGATCCGGTGTGGCGCAAGGGTCTAATCTGGGCCCCTTGCTGTTCGTATTGTTTATTAACGATATAGTCGATGAGCTGAACTGCAAAAAACTGTTATTTGCTGACGACTTAAAACTTTTCTTGGAGGTCAAATCTTTGAGCGATTGTCAACAACTTCAATTAGATTTAAATCGTCTAATTTACTGGGGAAAGTGTAATCGTCTCTCAATTAATCAATCTAAGTGCTTCGTTGTCTCTTACTCGAGAAAAGCTTCTATTGTTAAATTTGACTATTATATGGAAAGCGTAGTCTTAACTCGTTTAGATAGGTACAAAGATTTAGGCGTTGTTTTTCATAATAAATTCTACTTTTTTAATCATAATCACATTGCTGAATGTATTTCCAAAGCGTATAAAATGTATAGTTTCATATATCGTAACTGTAGTGACTTTTCGAACACACACCACTTACGGCCCTATTTAATTCTCTCGTCAGGTTATCTATTCTAGAGTAGAATACTGTGCCTTGATCTGGTTTCCGATCTACAATACCTATATCGACCAAATAGAACTAATTCAAAGAAAATTTTTAGAATTTGTTGCGCATCTGACTGATGGCGTTTATCCCCCTCGAGGGTTCAATCATGAACTATTATTGGCCAGAATTAATTGCAAACGACTTCACACAAGAGGGATAATTGTTGTTGGTAAATTTTCATACAATTTACTAAATAATAGAATAGATTCTCTATACCTCCTTGATAAGTTTTTCTTTGTTGTCCCTAGATTAAACTCCAGACAAAATCCTTTATTTTATGCACCTCGCTGTAAAACTAATGCTCTAAGTAGATCGCCCGTTGCGCTTATGTAACTATTGCAACTTAATTACCACTGACTGTGATTTCAATTTCGATTCAGCTCAACATACAGGGTGACTGCGAAATATATGCAATAATTTTAACCACGGCATCCCCAACCCTAGTAGAGTCGAAATATAGAAAAAAATGAAAAATCGAATGGGGCAAAACCCCCATGAACCACCCTCGATACGAAGGCACTGAGCCACCTTGTAGACAGAGTTGGAAAAACGTTCGAATAAAAACGGCGTAAACACTTTCAGTTTCAATTAAAAGTAAAACCGACTTTTTGCTGCTCATCATTCGTTCATTCATTTATTTATTCATTTATCATTAAAGGTCAGTGCGAAAATTTTTTGGTAATGCTTCATGATGATCAACTTTTGATTCTGACGGATGTTTGGTCCTTGCCACAACGATTTTACATTGTTTATTGGAACAAAAATAAGAGCAACTTAGAATGCTACTACCTTTTTACAAGAAATGTTGAAAATGTTGTCCTTGACTAGCCATACAGGCGTCAGAGCGTCGCAAGATGTTTGTTGATAGCTAAAAAAAACACCGAAGTAGCGGCTGCCATTTTCACTTGTTGTTGAGGCTCTTCGATAATTTCTGGACACTGTTGATTTCCACAAACTAACTGTTTCATCCAACCGATACACATATCGAAAACCGTCTCTTGAAATCGTACTTGTTGACGAGCATGTGGAGTTTCATCGGACAAAAAGTGAGTTACACAACGTGGACAATCAGCGGGCTCCAAACCCTGTACTTTGTCAACATGGTATGGATGTGGCCGTGTTCTTTTAATGTAGGATGCACTACAAGCTGTGAAAATCCAACTTCTTCTTTCTGTCCTATCACGGCCACGGTCGTGAGTTTGAGGTTGAAGGTATCATCATGATCTCGGAGATAATGTACCACTCATGCACATGTTCGCCCACACCAATTACCATATCGACACCCTCTGCATGGGGAAACCTCACCATAAACCGATTTCACCGACCGCTCGATGCTGACTGGCCCTTTTCGTGTTTTTCACGTTGTGATTAAAAGTGCCTGATAAAGTCACTGCTACCACTTAGAACCGTGAATTTTACCCAGTGACATAATCATATTGTGAGCTATTCCCCCTTTTTTTTTTTCATGTATTTCGCAATCACCTTGTATATGTAAATCTCTTCCAAACGGTTACTCCTATAAACATTTAAGTTTAAGTTTCTGGTCTTAACGGTTTACTATATTATCTTCATTAATTTGTAATTATCCTAATTTTCATCCTTATTTTTTATTAATATCTTTAATAGGAGTATGTACTTACTCATAGATTCATTTAAGTTTAAGACTCTAATCTGTGTGATGTAAATATTATATTGCTTTCTTTAATTTGTAATGATTCTAATTTTCGTATTTATTTATTGTTAATATGTTTAATATGTGCTTACTCTTACATACATTCAAGTCTCCTGCTTAATTATCAGTTATATGCTTTATTTTTTCTAATTGTTTCCTGTAATTGGGTGTTTTTTGCCCGTTGGAAATAAAGATTATTATTATTATTATTATTAACATTATTTAAAAAAGGGGACAAAGCAGATGTAACCAACTATAGGCCAATCTCTCTAATAAGTAATTTTGCGAAAGCATTTGAAAGCATTTTGTACAAATATATTTATATGGATGTAAAAATGTATATTAGTCCCTCGCAACATGGGTTCATGAAGAAACGTTCGACTATTACAAATCTCGTTTGTTTTACTCAATTTACTTGTGAAGCAATTGATAGTAAACAACAGGTTGATACTGTATACCTTGATTTTTGGAAAGCGTTTGATCAAATTGACCATAATATTCTACTTCAGAAGTTACATTACTTTGGTTTTTCTGATTCTTTGATAAAACTTTTCCAATCATACTTGGTAGATAGAGTGCAATATGTACAATATCGCTGTTATAAGTCGAAAAATATAGTTCCTGGATCTGGAGTTCCTCAGGGGTCAAACTTGGGACCGCTGTTGTTCCTCTTGTTTGTTAATGATATCACGGAAGTTATCTCATCTAATTACTTGTTATTTGCTGATGATTTAAAAATCTACAGGATTATAAATTCTCCTTGTGATTCCATTGCTTTCCAAAATGATCTCAATAATGTCTATCAGTGGTGTCTGCAAAACCGTTTATTTTTAAATATCGCCAAATGTTTAATTGTAACGTATACCCGTAAATTATCCCCTATGCACTATCAATATAGTATTAACAATGTAAAACTACAGCGTAAGAGCTCTATATTAGATTTAGGTGTATTATTTGACTCTGCTTTCACATTCACTTCGCATATGGAAAATATGATATGTAAAGCATATAAAACTTTGGGATTCATCTTTAGAAATAGCAAAGAATTTAAGGATATACGAACGTTGAAACTATTGTTTTTTGGACTTGTCAGGTCTACGTTGGAGTACGGTTCAATTATTTGGCACTCGGTGTATCATGTCCATGTTAACAATATAGAGTCTGTTCAAAGAGTGTTTTTAAAATTCCTAGCATTTCGGGAAGACAGAATATATCCGGTAAGAGGTCACCCACAATCACAGTTATTAAATAGATTTAACATCATCTCCCTGAATACGAGAAGACTGATTTCAGGTGTGCGTTTCCTCTTAAATTTAATTAATTATGAAATTGATAGCATGTGGTTGCTCAGGAAAATAAACTTTTTAACACCGAGGTATAATGCTCGTCAATCTGATATGTTCTATTGTCCCTCCTGTAAAAGTAATCTATTACAAAGGTCACCAATTGTTGTAATGTGTAGGGTGTTCAATAAAATATCACAGAACTGTGATATAACTGATAAATTTCCTAAAGTTTCTGCATGCATTATAGCGGAATACGAAGTTTCAAAGTGAATGTTTCTGCAAAAAGTATGGAGTCAACCAACTGTGAACATATAGCTTTCTAATTAATTGCAAATTTGCAAATGGTTTTCTTGCATTTTTAACACTGGTTGTGAGCTTTTTGTTTTTGTTTATCGGATGAAATTTAATCTGTTTTCACCTTTCCCTGTTAAGTGGATTGTCCAGTTGGGAAAGTTACGATTAATAATAATAATAATAATAATAATTAACATTGGCACAATGAGGCATGCTTCCTCCTGTCATTCTACCTCTGTGACATTAATAGACAAAAGCGATTACCATAGCTACTATTTTCAACAGAACGGTCAAATAATGATACTATTACGTATGTTTAGTATTACAGCAAACAACGGTTAAATTTTGTTGACTGGCGTGATTTGGCATTCAAAAATAATTCTGAAAAAAAAAAATAATGGACATACCTGTGTGCTGGGGAGCCTAGAATCACTTTCCATATCAAAACGCCATGTTTGACATCAGGTGGTACATACTGACTTCTTTCACGCAACTCGTGTAAAATCTGAGGTGTTAACGTAAGCATTGTAATTCCCATATATTTTCGAGCGAGTCCACCTGCTCCAGTTTTTTTCACCCCTTCAGCATTCTTTAAAAATTCCTTAACATAATCACTTGGAATTGCAAAAGAAATTCCTGCTGTAACCTTCATACTATTAATACCAATTGCATCTCCATCTAGATTAACTAATGGTCCCCCAGAGTTACCAAAAGTAATAGCAGCATCTGTCTGAAGATACACAATATCTTTACCTCTTAAACCTAACTCATCAGAACCACGACTGGTTGAACTAATAACTCCAAAAGTTACAGAATTGCTTAGTGCAAGAGGACTTCCAATGGCTACTACAAATTCACCTGGCCTTAATTCTGAAGAATTCCCCAATTTTATTATGGGTAACTTCTTCGCCGAGATTCGAACAGTTGCTAAATCGCTTTTGACATCCACATCTTCTACATGGCCACTATATGTAACACCATTATGTAATCTTACTTCCACCTTTGAATAAGGCTTATTTGCTACTACATGGGCGTTCGTCAAAATTAATCCATCTTCCCTTATAATAAATCCTGACCCATTAGAAATTGTTGTAGGTTTACCAGTAAAAAAATCTACTCTTCTAGCATCTTTAATCTCAATGTAGACAACAGCTGGTGCTGTAGTTTCAACTACATCAGCTACAAAATTATATTGTTTTCTTCGATTTGAGGTAGCTTGTACACTTGGTATTAAATTGTCCTTAATATGAAGTTTATATGTAACATATCCTATGCCAAAAATTAATACATACTTCCAATGACATTTTAAATTGAAGAAATTTTCATCAACATTATATGAAGTTGTAAGAACTGCTGTTGTCGACTTTCTACTAAATGATTTTATGTAATGCTGCAACTGTCGTAAGAAGCACATCTTAATTGGTATTTTCATATTATGATCTTAACATTGACATTAAACACATCTCAAGTTACATACAACTCTTCCGAGAAGACAAAAATACCACCAACTGTTCGTAAGGGCAATTCTCAGAAAGTAACATAACCTATCTTCTTAGTAAACATATGAGCATCTGAAATTAATAAAACAAATTTTACAAAAACAACCTGCTCTTAAACTTACTATCACACTTACTGTAAACCGTGCTGTAAACTAATTTGATGTTAAAATCTGACAAAAATAATTCGACGTCAAGAACGTTATACCATAGATTAATATAGATGCGACATACAGGCTGATTTTGCAAGACCACCCATGGTAGAAGGAAACATGGTATAGGCATACGCATCGGGTGTGACGTCAAGTGGGGTGAAATTAGCGCGAAATTTAAAATAAATCCGTTCGCAAAACTCCCGCACTGTCAGTGTCAGATTTGGAAAAAATGAGTGTACTCAGTGGTGAGATGCGAAAAACCTGTACAATATGTTGCAAAATTGCAATCTAGTGACAAATTAGTAACTAAAAATAACTTGTCAAATAAAAATGTCAAAAGCACGTTAATTGAAGACCAGGGGTGAAAGCAAGATAGGCAAACCAGCAACACGAGTTTGTAGGGGCCACGACGGACGAAGTGAGGCAAGGGGAAATGACGTTGGTGACAGTTTGGTGCAGTTTGGTGATTTCAGTGTGATTTTGGTGGGAAACCGAAAATTCCTTTCACCAACAATGAACTGCTCACGCGTTGTGCATTGTGTTTTGTTTTGTTTTTGATTGTTTACCGCGTTTTCAGGTTAGCGTCAGTGAATTTTTGTCCCATGAGATGAAGTGTTGTGTTTTAGAAGCTTGTGTAAAGATAAGTATAAAATTTCACCATTTTTGTAATACGTTTTTGCAATTAATTAAGTATTTGTTGATCAGATTTTCATTCACTTATTTTCAGGAATTATGGAGGGAAAGAGGAAGAAATACTGCAAATTTCCAGGTTGCAACAATGCATACATCACAGGTGGTGGAAACAAGCACTATTTTCAGTTCCCGAAGGACCCAGAAGTGCATAGAAGATGGAAGGAAATTTGCAGTGTGAAGGAAAGTACAGGTTTACTGCCGCCCTGAAAACTGTTGTGGTCAACAAGCTTGTTGCCCCAACAACAGAAGGGAATTGTGAAGATGATGGTTGCACGCCGTTGGAAAATCTCCGAAACCTGCTGCAATATGCAGAGAAGACTGAAACTGCGGAAGTGGAAGAGGTAACTGAATTTGACGAAGAAGAGGTCAGTGGCACATCAAATTTGGACGCATGTATTTGTTTTGAAAACCTTGAAAAGCTGTCGGACGAAGACAGTCAAGGATTAGCCTATGTTTCAGGCTATATTTTAAAACAGATAGATGTATTCAATTGCGATGCTTGCCAGAGTGCGTTGACTACCACGGAGATGTTACCATCTCATTTGTTAACGTACTTCAAAGACCGTGGTGATGATGACTTGAGACTGACGTATGCAAGTGAGAATGTAATGTTGTTTGTTCGAAACATACATGACAATTTGTACACATTTTTGGACAAGAATTCTCATCAAACAAATTTGGAGAGTCGTTTCAAATCTGAGTACAAGTTAACATGTGGTCTTGTGCAAACTGTTTGTGAGAGACATGATTGTTTTGGTATGATTCTGGACAAGTGTACGAGGTTTTTGATTTACAAGTATGTTAGAGAATTTTGACTGAAATACTGGCTGTGACTTAACTTTCGGCTGCGACATTAAACCAAATATAGACTGTTAGAAAATTTGTTCATTTTATTTTACCGTTTGTGTTTTGTTTTTGTTATATTGTATATTAAGAGAATAACTTGTTCTGTTTTTAATATTTTTATTTTTTGTTATACTTGTTTTTGCATGCCAAAGAATTATTTTGTTTGAAATATTTTTATCGTTTTGTGCTTGATTAATTTTATTGAAAATATATTTATTTAGGTCATTATGTATTGTAATATATTATGGAATTAATAAATACATTTTTTTTTCAGCATATCTGGGTTTTATTGAAAAATGAGTGAAATTAGAATTAAATTTAATAAACAAAAACATGGTACTGACTTTTAAACTACGCGCTTGCTCGTTAGTTGGGCCACTACGACACCAGGTGGCTCTACTTTTTGTGTTTCTTGAAATTTGTAGGGACTTTGCATTTCTATTAGTGAGTGTTCTGTGATTGAAGATTTTTATCAGTTCAAGTAAAGAAAGAGTATGACACACGAACGACAATGAAAGCTTTTTTTTAATCTATACATATAAAATTGTTTGTCCTGACTGACTGATTCATCAACGCAGAGCCTAAACTACTGCAGCTAGAAACATGAAATTTGGACAATAGTTTCCTTTTGTGATGTAAACACCCACTAAGAAAGGAACTTGGGAAATTCCACCCCTAAAAGGGTGAAAAGCGGTGGTAAAATTTGTACAGGAAGACTATTTCCTAACCATTTCTGTTGTAAATATTTACGTGAAACTTGGTATTAATGCTCTTCAATACAGATAACGAAACACATATTTCAGCATTTTCCGAGATTCAACCCCTAAGGGGGTGAAAACCGGTGTCTAATTGTGTATGGGAAAAATATTTCTATTGTAAATTTTTGCGTGGAACTTGATATTAATGCTGTTCAACACAAATAATGTAAAGCGCATTTCATTTGTACGTGGTAGGGTTATTGGAAAAATCAGTCTTAAGCTTTTAAAATTTAAGAAGTTGTATGGAAATAGAGAGGCCACGACGTCACCGAGTAAGCGGCTGCGATGCGAACGCGGTCTGCGGTCGGACGCGTGAGGCCAAACGGCGTTGACGGTTGTGTTTTATGTCACGAATTGTCAAAATATTTCCGATATGGTTGTAGAAATCTTAAACATAAACGGTGCAATGGTACCACATACTGTCGTACCGATTATTGGCGATGGAGCTTGCTTATTCCGAGCAATATCATACCTGTTATATGGTACTGAAGTTATGGCTCGGGAGGTGCGGGAGATAATAGTAACACACGTAGTAGAGCGTTGGGATGAGTTTTCCATCCTATCCCACGACAGAGATGGAAATAATTTTAACAGTGCTGCTGACTACCTTGCCGAAATGTTAAAGTCCTATACTTATGGCGGTTTGTGCGAATTAGTGGCTTCTGGACAAATATTTCCATATGTATTTGAGGTTTATTATAACGGAGAGTTGTATAAAAAATTCGGCATAGAAGAAAATCCCGTATATAAATTGCGTTTTAGTACTTCGCACGATCTTTCTAATGGGCATTTCGACGTTTATCAATCTTCTGAGGATCAATTAATTCCAAGTTTCATTTCTCAAAATGATACTGAAAAAAAGAAGCACCACCGGGCTAGATTTACCGACGCAACTAGAAAAAAACAGCTCAAAGATGCCGCTATCAAGTACATGCAACATAATCCGGATGTTCATCGTAAGGCTGTCATGGTTTATCAACGGAAAAATCCAGAGGCTCACCGCGCTGCAGTGATGACTTACCAGCAAAATAATCCAGATGTTCATAGAGCAAGTGTTTTTAGGCATGAAAGGAATAATCCAGGAAAACGATCAGAAAGGCGATTGTTTCCGTGGAAAGTTAAAGCTTTGTCTGGAATGATGTATGATCTTGAATTAGCTTATGTAACTGATAAAACTGTTGCCCTAGGTGCTATGAATCACAAATGCATACATTGTCTTGCTTATAAGTGGAAAGAAGAAGCTCCTGGGATGTGTTGCGCCGGTGGTAAAGTGCAACTTCCAACATTTAAACCCTTGCCAGAGCCTCTTCACAGCTTGATTATGGGTCTTCATCCAGAGCAGGTTCATTTTATGGATGGTATTAGAAAGTATAACAGTTGCTTGCAGATTACGTCCTTTGGAGCTAAGAAAATAATGGAAGATCGTTTTATCCCCACGTTTAAAGTACAGGGACAGGTTTATCACTTGGTTGGTAGCTTATTACCCTTGCCCCAACAAGAACCTCAATTTCTTCAAATTTACTTCATTGGTGAAGACGAGAGAGAGGCAAATTTGAGATGCAGCAATTTCTCTGGTGTGAAACCAAATCTGGTCAAACAACTGCAAGCGATGTTGCACGAGAAAAATTCATATATAAGGGACCTGAAAACAACTCTTCAAAAAGTACCCGAAGATTGTGAAAAATTTGAAGTCGTTATTCACGCTGATAGAAAACCAGCCAATGCTCACACAGGCCGTTATAATGCACAGACAACGAGTGAAGTTGCTCTGGTCATAGTCGGACAGCAGTTCGACAAGCGAGATATCGTTTTACAAAATCACGATAAGAAATTGCATCGGATCAGCGAGTTACACCGCTCCTATGACGCCCTGCAATACCCACTCCTATTTTGTTATGGTGAGGATGGTTACTCTATTGACATACCGCAATATGATCCTAAAACAAAAACATCTCTTCAAAAAACCATATCGGCGCTAAATTTTTATTCATATCGCATCATGGTCAGAGAAGAAGACGAAAATCGATTGTTATACTATCGTACCCTTTTTAGTTAATATTTAGTTGATATGTATGCGAAAATAGAAACGGAAAGATTGAATTATATCAGGTACAACCAAGCATACCTCAGAGCAGATAGTTATGTACATTTGAAAGATGCGATAGGAAGGTAGGACACCGATATTACTCAACTTGGTAATAGGGTGGTACTCCCTTCATCGTTTACTGGATCACCTCGATATATGCATGAAAGAACTCAAGATGCAATGACCTACGTACGCCATTACGGTCGCCCTGACCTTTTCATCACATTTACATGCAATCCTCAATGGAAAGATATTGCAGATGCATTGCTGCCTGGTCAAAAACCACACGATCGTCATGACATTATAGCACGGGTATTTCATTTAAAAGTTAAAGCAATTATGTCACTGCTAACAAAAGGAAATTTGTTTGGAAAAGTGCGTTGCTTTATGTATTCCGTTGAATGGCAGAAGCGAGGTGTTCCACACATCCACATTTTGTTGTGGTTGGAGCAGCGAATTTCTGCCGTTAATATAGATAATGTTATCTGTGCGGAGATACCGGATCCTCAAAAGGATCCTATCCTTTATAAAATTATCAAAACCAATATGATCCATGGGTCCTGCGGAAATTTGAGGAAATCCCCGTGTATGAAAGGACGTTGCTGTAGCAAAAAATATCCTCGAATTCTCCTGAAAGAAACCCAAACAGGCGACGACGGCTACCCTAAATATCGGCGAAGAGGTCCCGCGGATGGTGGATTCGCGGTTGAAATCCATGGTGTAACCCTAGATAATAGATGGGTGGTACCGTATAATCCAGTTTTGTCTCGAACTTTAGCTGCTCACATCAACATCGAGAATTGTAACTCTGTAAAATCTATTAAATACATATATATGCAAATACGTCAATAAAGGATCCGACCAAGCCTCATTTGGTCTTGAAAATGACAATGATGAGGTCAAATTATATGAAAGTGGTCGATATATTAGCAGCTCTGAAGCTGTTTGGAGAATCCTGGCCTTTCCTATACATGAAAGATTTCCAGCTGTTTTTCATCTC